TAAAGGCACAGTAACAAAAAAACAGCCTGTTTACTTCTAAGGGATCAAGGGAGAATGGAAAACTAATCAGCCAACTAATCAGCACTCAGTAGCAGTAATGCCAACTAATCGGCACTCAGTAGCAGTAATGCTAACTAATCAGCACTCAGTAGCAGTAATGCCAACTAATCAGCTCTCAGTAGCAGTAATGTTAACCAATCAGCACTCAGTAGCAGTAATGCCAACTAATCAGCTCTCAGTAGCAGTAATGCTAACCAATCAGCTCTCAGTATCAGTAATGTTAACCAATCAGCACTCAGTAGCAGTAATGCCAACTAATCAGCTCTCAGTAGCAGTAATGCTAACCAATCAGCACTCAGTAGCAGTAATGCCAACTAATCAGCTCTCAGTAGCAGTAATGCTAACCAATCAGCGTCCAGTAGCAGTAATGCTAACCAATCAGCACTAAGTAATGCCAACAGTGGTAGTAATGTTTTCATCCTACTATTTTTTTCTGTAGAAAAACAGAAATATATTAGTAATTTCTTATTGGTTTTTAAAGGAAGTTCATATGTCTGTGTCTAGAAATATGTCATTTTTTGTTTTAGCCATTTAGCTCCGTTCACTCCCATTCATTGTGGACTCACCTGCCAGCGCCCCCTAGTGTTTTGCAGTGTTGTTTTTGGTATAAAGGGAGAAAAAGTGGGAGAACTGCATATATTAACTGTATATTGCTTATTTTTTGCACTTATATTGCTTAGACTTTGTACTTTTATATTGCTGATATTTTATATTTATTTATTTTGTTATTTATTTTCTGTAGATTTTAATACACTGTTTGAGGTTGACGCAGTTGCATTGCTTGTAAAATCACAATAAGGTTCTTAAATCTGACTCTGACAATAGAACATTTATTTCTGTTGTCTTTATTTCTATTGTGTTGTGTCTGAAACCAGCTGCCTTAGCTGTGATGTAGCTAATAAGTGATGGAAGCTTAAAATTAGCCAATTAACAAGGTGCTAACTGCACCTCAGAGTGTGTGGAGGTGTTCAGTTTAATAGTCTTGATGATGTGGTTTATGACACTGTATGACTGTTATCTATGTGTGTTAGCACAGCTAAACACAGCAGCACTGACGCCTGAACTGTGTCTGTGCTTTAGTCTGTGTTTATAGATGACAGTCAGTCAGAAACCACATAATCAAGACTATTGATTTTTCACCAAAATGTTCCTTTACAGAGGAAACAGTGATCAGACAAATGGACACAAATACAAAAGACAAATAAACAAACAAACAAACAGGCAGATATACAGACAGACAGGAAGAGTGGCAGACTGCAAACACAGACAGACAGCTGGGCAGATGGTAGAGTGTGAGAGGAGTGTTTCTCAGCAGGACAGCAGCTGTGAGAGAGTGTGTGTGTGTGTGTGTGTGTGTGTGTGTGTGTGTGTGTGTGTGTGTGTGTGTGTTCACACTCATCCTCTCCATGTCTCAATAATTCATCACTGCTTCTCCACTTTTTACGTCAAACCCCCCCCTCTCTCTGTTCTTTCTCTTGCTCTCTCTCTATTTCTTCTTTCTTCCTTTTCTCTTGTTCTGTCTCTCTTTCTTTTATATCTCTTATTCTTTATCCCCTCTCTCTCTTCTCTCTCCTTCTCTTTCTCTCTTTCTTCTCAGCCTCTCGCTTCCCTTCTCTCTTTTCTCTCTCTGTTTTTTTCTCTCAGTTCTCTCTTTACCTATTTTATCTCTCTGATTTTCTTCTTTCTTTTCTATTTTTCTCATTGTATCTTTTTCTTTTTTATCTTCTTCTTTCTCCACTCTCTTCATATTTCTCTCTTCTTGCTCTCTCTCTTTCTTTTCTGTCTTTTATTCTCTCTCCCTCCTCTATATCTCTCTCTTCTCTCTCTTGCTTTCTTTCTCCCTCTCTCTCTCTCTCTTTCTTTCTCTTTCTTTTCTCTTGTTCTCTTTGTCTCTCTTTTTTCTATCTCTTACTCTCTCTCTCTTCTCTCTCTCTCCTTCTCTTTCTCTCTCTCACTTTTCTTTGCTCTTTTCTCTCTCTTCTCTCCTCTCGATTTCTTTCTTCTCTCTGCCTTTCTTTTCTCTGCCTTTCTTTTCTCTCTCACTTTCTTCTCTTTCTTTCTCTCTCTTCTCTCTCTCTTTCTCTCTCTCTCTCTCTCTCTCATATTAAATCTAAATGAAAAAAGCTACTTTTAAAACGCTGCCATTTTTTAAAGGAATAAATGTGGTATCATGTAAAATCTAACAATTAGTAATTAAACTATAATTACAGCTTTGAGCTAATAATATCTCTGACTGCCATTATTATTAATATTTTATTATTGTTGTTGTTGTTTTTGAGTAAAGCCAAGCATCATTACTGTGTAATGATCTGGTAATTCAGGCCAGCCTGTGTGAGATACAGATCAGTCTGTATGTGTTAATGAGCTGATATTGATATTACGTATTCTCTCCTCATCTGTGAATGAATGGAGGGCATGAAATATACCCCCTCCTTCACCCTCCACCCCCCGCCCCCTTGCAGAGTCAGTGTGAGGCATGTTTGCGTGTGTGTGTGTTATTTTTAACACCCACCAAAACACCACACTGAGATACATTTGGATCAGTGACACATAAGGTTTTCAAAACTGACAGTTTTAAAAATCTTACTGAAAAAGACATGATGTGCATTTTTATACTTGCATATATATCTGCATTTATATCTATGCATTCTCTATCTTAAACATAGTGAGTGTTATTAGAGCTTTAATTGTCTATTTCAGTTATTAAACTGTGCTGGTCTGGTTGCTTCGTCTGACTGACTGGTTGTGCCGCCTGACTTTTCAGACTAATTTCAAATGAAACAGGATCTACTTAGACCCCTATAGAAACCTTTGGCCTTCAACTTCAGTTTATACTCATATTTTTATCAAATAAATAAACATTATTATAATATTTCCACATTGTCATGGTTCTCCTGAGGTCAGACCACCTGACAAGTCCAAAACCAAATTTTACTAAATCTGTGACCTTGGCGTTGCACCATGAAGATCACTTGGGGTCTTCTTTATGATGCATTACTCTGTGCCCTCTTTCATTAAAGCATGCCAAAGTAAAAGTCCTTTGTCTTTGATTGTGCCGCCTGACATATGGGGAAGTAAAGTTGCTTTATTTTGCAACATGACTTTTATTTTAACGTTTAACATAAAATCAAACTATTTTATTTAAAATTTTATGACTAAATTACCTTTTTTGAGAGTTTACTTAATCAACATATATGGTTGGACGGTTGCACCACCTGACATTTTGAGATGTTTGGAGGCAAAAAGAAACAAAAATGAATTTTGTATGGAAGCATTGAAAATTGTTTCTCATAAAAGAGGTATTGTTGAGTAATCTGATGTATGTTGTGTGTTTATTAAATTGTTTTTTGGGACAATAACGGATTTAGACACTAGAAATGCACGTCATGTCACTGAGCCACAACCTACTGAGCTGAGCTGCTGAGCTGATATTACTGTGTTGGTCTGTGTGTTTGTGTGAGCTGGTTTTGCTGCCCAAGATTGAGTCTCAGGGGGGCAACACTTCACCCTGGTGGTCCTCACTGCGGCTACTAACGTCACCACAAGCATCTTAATAATCTCAGGTCACAACATCGCATAAAAACACTGATACACCAAACTGCCACTGTTCCCTGTTAGAAGAACGACAACGTAATCATTATTATTATTAATATCATTACCTCAATAACTGTAGCTGTATTAAAACAGCGCTGCTGCTGTTATTGAGGTAATGATATTAATAATAATAATAATAATAATAACAATGATTACGTTGTTGTTCTTCTACTGGCCACTGGGAGGCGCACAGACTCCGTTCAGCGCGGCGAAGTGCGGCGGCTTTTATCCCCACCCGCATTCATACAAGCCACGCCCTCCTGCGCTAGGATTGGCTAGCAGAACCAGTCTGCCGTTCTAAGACTTCAGTGCCAAACTTATTGTTCTAAACGTGCTTTTTAAACGTTCTAGAATGTTCTCATTGTTCCACAATGTTAAAATGTAAACACTTAAAAAAGCTATTTCCAGGTTCCTTAGTAAGGGCAATGGTTCTGTTTAGAACCGTGAATTCTATATAGAACAATGTGCGTGCTCGAATGGTTCTCTGCATGGAGAAATGGTTCTTCAGGTTGACAGAGACTAAGTTGTTTATGACTCTATGTAGCACAAAAAAGGGTTCTTTTATTGCTACAAGCTTTATATTGTGACGATAGGAGAACAACTTCGGGTGCTAAAAAGGTTCTATACAGAACCGTTTACAACTCCGTCAATCCAGAGAACCGTTCACCATGCATAGAACCCTTTGAGTGTTCATGGTTCTACATAGAACCATGGTTCTAAATAGAACCATTTTTTAGTTAAAGAACCTTTGAAGAACCTTTTTTAAAACCGTACAAGTGAAAAACCATTTTTGGTGTGATATACACTCCTAAAAAGATGGTTCTTCAAGGGTTCTGTAGTAAAGGCAATAGTTCTATTTAAGACCATGAGTTGTGTATAGAACCATGTGCATGCTTAAATGGTTCTCTGCATGGTGAAATGGTTCTTCAGATTGATAGAGAATGGTTCTCATCAAGCTTGTATACCACAGAAGAACCCTTTTTATGGTGCTTTATAGAACCATAAATACAACATTCTTATACATATACAATCTGAAGAACCGTGTCACGATGCAAAGAACCATTTAAGCACGCATATGGTTCTAAACAGAACTCATACCTCTAAATAAAACCATCGCCTTTACTAAAGAACCTTCGACCATAACCCAACAGGGGGCGTGGCTTTGCGTCATAGGATTGCTTGAGCTACGAGCCAATCAGAGCTCACATGGGCGGGGTTAACTTTACAGGCGGCGCACTACTAGCCAATCCCAGCGTAGGTAGGGCGGGGTTTGTCGGAATACGGGTGATGTAGAAGTCAGAAGGCCCCGCCCCCTCTCTGTCCAGTCCGCTCTGAAGTTTGCGTCGCGCGCTCAGACGTGCGGTGGCTCGTGCGAGCGAGGATGTCTGTGAACGAGGCGCGCGTGTTCCGACCGTTCAAGCTGATCGCGCTGCTCTGCGTGTTCCTCGCGCTCTGCCTGGACGTCGTGGCGCTCGTGAGCCCCGCGTGGGTGACGGCGGAGGGATACGCGCTGTCTCTGTGGGAGTCCTGCTGGGAGAGCGAGGCGGAGTGGCGCTGCAAATCCACGCTCACGTCCGGTGAGGGTGCGCGCGCGCTTGGTGGGGGGACTTAACGGGGGTCTGCTTGAGCTGATGATTAAGTTTGAAGGGGAATTCCACCGAATTTTCAAAAGATTTCTGCATAACTCAGGGTTTGAGATGTAAACAGAGTGATTCAGAGTGGTTTGGTGTGAAATGGTTCAGATGTCTTTACAGTGGTGGTGATAGGAACCAGGGGTCGCCATGACTACAACACAAATATAGACATTTTATTTACTATCCAGAACCACCAGTGAACCTACACGAGTCTTCTGAGTTTATATGGAATGTTGATGATGGAAAATAGTGGAAAATCTGGAATAATAAGTTTTCTTTAGGGACTATTTTGCCTCACAGCGCCCTGCATGTATCCCTCCACCATGAATGGAGTTTAAGTTCTCTAAACTATCATAAAACAGTGTCTCAGTCATCAGGCAGTGAATTCATAACCATTTCATGTAGGAACTTTCTGTGAGGGAGCTTTTAGAGGTGGACGTCTGGTTCCTATCACCACCACTGTGAACAGTTCTGACTCGGTAAGTTTATCTAGAACAGAGCGTTTCACACCAAACCACTCTGAACCGCTCTGTTTACATCTTAATCACTTAATTATGCAGAATTCTTGAAAAATTGGTGGAGTTTGCCTTTAATATATAGCTAAATAAACACTGTAGGTCCTTAAGTAACCAACAGTGATCCACAAATTGGCACTAGAATATTAACTTTCCTTGAAAAAGCAGCTGTATTAGTGTTTTCGTGGTCTATAAGATCTCTATAGTGCTGTAAAATGCTTCTGTAATAATTAATGATACTGTCTTACGGAGCTTTACAATAATAATGTAAAGTAATTGTCTGAATATACTGTCCTGTAGAAACTCATTAATAGACCTTTTTACCGAGGGTTTGCTTTTTGTGAAAAATATAAAATAATAAGTGCCTGTTTGCATGTTTAGGACTTGTGAGAATAACCATTATAAAAAAACAGTAGTTTATTTTTTTTTTTAAAAAAATAACAGTTCAGTATTTTTTCATTTTGAAATAATGGTTTCTGTACAGCCGTCACAACAGCGGCAGCATCAGCCAGAAGTTATCATTTTTACTGTTAGAGCAGCTTCATATTGTCAGGAATTGAGCTGATGTTGATAATAATGAAGCTGATTTTGGATTAAAGGGGAATTCCACCCAAATTTCTCCATAATTCAGTGTGTGAGATGTGAACAGAGTGACTCAGAGTGGTTTGGTGTGAAATGGTTTAGATGTCTTTACAGTGGTGGTGATAGGAACCAGGGGTCGCCATGACTACAACACAAATATAGACATTTTATTTACTATCCAGAACCACCAGTGAACCTACACGAGTCTTCTGAGTTTATATGGAATGTTGATGATGGAAAATAGTGGAAAATCTTTGGGGACTGTGGAAAATAGTGGAAAATCTTTGGGGACTTTAAAAAATCGGTGGAGTTTCCCTTTAATACGACTAAACATATACAGCATCTACACCAGCTAAAACCAATTTAAACCAGAGTTAAAGCTGTTCTAATGTAAAGCTGAGTGTTTACTGACTTCATGTTTACATTCCAAGTGGGCTTCAGCTTCACCCAGTGTTTTACATTGAGTCCAGCAGTGTTAGCTGACTCCTCTCTTCAGTTCGAGAAAGTTATGGTCTCTATAGGCCACAAACTAAGATTGCTTATGAAAAGTTTAAAGCTTATACAGCATTTTAATGAGTCTATTCATGCTTAAAGGGGAATCTCCACTGATTTTTCAAAAATTCTGCATAATTAAGTGATTAAGATGTAAACAGAGTGGTTCAGAGTGGTTTGGTGTGAAACGCTCCGTTCTAGAGAAACTTACCGAGTCAGAACTGTTCACAGTGGTGGTGATAGGAACCAGACGTCTGCCTCTAAAAGCTCCCTCACAGAAAGTTCCTACATGAAATGGTTATGAATTCACTGCCTGATGACTGAGACACTGTTTTATGATAGTTTAGAGAACTTAAACTCCATTCATGGTGGAGGGATACATGCAGGGCGCTGTGAGGCAAAATAGTCCCCAAAGAAAACTTATTATTTCAGATTTTCCACTATTTTCCATCATCAACATTCCATATAAACTCAGAAGACTCGTGTAGGTTCACTGGTGGTTTTGATAGTAAATAAAATGTCTATATTTGTGTTGTAGTCATGGCGACCCCTGGTTCCTATTAACACCACTGTAAAGACATCTGAACCATTTCACACCAAACCACTCTGAACCTCTCTATTCCCATCTTATCCACTGAACTATGCAGAAAATTGGTGGAATTCCCCTTTAAATAATGCTGGTGTGAGTATTTGCCAGTGAGTTTGGAAACACAGCTCAGGAATTCCAGTCTAAAAGTGCACTAGCGTGAGTTTTGGTCAGTCTCCAGTAATTCTATCACTTTCCTGATAATTGTGGGATATTTTTAGGGTGGAGAGCGAAATGGTCCATGGCTTCCGGCACAAATGCAGCTGCTGGGTGTTTACACAGCTTCTCTCTCTCTGAATGAACCATGTTCTCCACAGACCGTCTCTGAGGCCTAAGAGGACAGGAGCTCCACTGTAGTGACAGTTTCAGACCAAAACATTGGTTCAGTTAAGATGATATTCAGTCGTAACGTCAACACAAACCTTACATTCAGCTCTAGCAGTGCTGTGTGTCGAAGGCAGTGGCCGTATCCAGCTAAACAAGGGACATTTTAATGAGCATAATCAGTTTTTGATGCTGAATAATAGGGGATTTAGCCGACCACATGAGGCTTTGTGTATTTGTTTACTTTCTGCGCATGGTTTCGGCTGGTCCGCTGCCCATTCCTGGTTTCGTCTGTGTGAACAGTGTGTTTTATGGTGCAGATGTATCTGGGTTTTGCTTTGCATGTTGTTTACTACCCAAAACCAGCAGTGAACCTACACCAGTCTTCTGAGTTTATATGGAATGTTGATGATGGGAAATAGTGGAAAATCTGAAATAATGAGTTTTCTTTGGGGACTATGAATGGATTAAAGTATATTTTAAGCCAAAACTTTGTTGTAAAACAGTGTCTCAGTCATCAGGCAGTGAATTCATAACCATTTCATGTAGGAACTTTCTGTGAGGGAGCTTTTAGAGGTGGACGTCTGGTTCCTATCACCACCACTGTGAACAGTTCTGACTCTGTAAGTTTGTCTAGAACAGAGCGTTTCACACCAAACCACTCTGAACCACTCTGTTTACATCTTAACCACTTAATTATATAGAATTTTTGAAAATTTGATGGAGTTTCCCCTTGGAGACTGATAAACAGAACACTTACTAATTCATCTGGGACTGTTTCACTGCTCTGAACAGTGAATGGTTGAATGTTGAGGTTCTGTTTGTTGTCGCTTTCACACAGATGGACTCAGGGATGCGAAGCTCACACGGCTAGATGTAGAATTTTTGAAAATTTGATGGAGTTTCCCCCCTGATAAACAGAACACTTACTAATTCATCTGGGACATTTCTGGGTATTAAGATGATATTCAGTTGTAGCGTCAGTATAACCCTTACATTCAGCTCTAGCAGTGCTGTGTGTTGAAGGCAGTGGCCGTATCCAGCTAAGCAAGGGACATTTTAATGAGCATAATCAGTTTTTGAAGCTGAATAATAGGAGATTTAGCCGACCACATGAGGCTTTGTGTATTTGTTTACTTTCTGCGCATGGTTTCGGCTGGTCTTCTGCCCAGTCCTGGTTTCGTCTGTGTGAACAGTGTGTTTTATGGTGCAGATGTATCTGGGTTTTGCTTTGCGTGTTGAGCAGCGATAGAAATGCATGGAATTTACCATGATTTTCTACGTCCATGACAGATGAGGAGAGCAGACAAAGGGCCTTTGTTACTGACCTGGTTCTCCCTCTCTCTCTCGCTAACAAAGGCTCTGCGGTATGCTAACATTTTGCTCTTTAAGTGGTAGGCTAGCTCACTTTTCTGCAGTGCTAATTAAAAGAATAATCCGGCGCTTTTCCTCCAAAGACTCCTCTGTCAGTTTTCTGAGTCCTTTAAAGTGATTTTAATGGTTCTCTTGTGAAATGATGAACTCTTAATGCAGCACTAATGCAGGAGCGAAATATTCTCCAGCAGTAAGCAGGAATGTTTATATCTTAAAGGGGAATTTGACCAATTTTTCAAAATTTCTGCACAATTGAGTGGTTTGGTGTGAAATGGTTCAGATGTCTTTACAGTGGTGGTGATAGGAACCAGGGGTCGCCATGACTACAACACAAATATAGACATTTTATTTACTATCCAGAACCACCAGTGAACCTACACGAGTCTTCTGAGTTTATATGGAATGTTGATGATGGGAAATAGTGGAAAATCTGAAATAATGAGTTTTCTTTGGGGACTATGAATGGATTAAAGTATATTTTAAGCCAAAACTTTGTCGTAACTTTGTGTCTCAGACATCAGGCAGTGAATTCATAACCATTTCATGTAGGAACTTTCTGTGAGGGAGCTTTTAGAGGTGGACGTCTGGTTCCTATCACCACCACTGTGAACAGTTCTGACTCTCTAGTTAAGTTTCTCTAGAACAGAGCGTTTCACACCAAACCACTCTGAATGACTCTGTTTACATCTTATCCACTTAATTAGATAGAATTTTTGAAAATTTGATGGAGTTTCCCCTCAGAGACTGATAAACAGAACACTTACTAATTCATCTGGGACTGTTTCACTGCTCTGAACAGTGAAAGGTTGAATGTTGAGGTTCTGTTTGTTGTCGCTTTCACACAGATGGACTCAGGGATGCGAAGCTCACTCGGCTCGATGCTAAAGATGTGTGGTGAATATGTTAACAGTACTCATGAACACACGAGTGTGATGTTGCGGAGCCTCTAAGTGGCTGTGATGAAAAACAAATTAAAAATGTAAGGACGTTGCATCGCCTTGCAGAATTTTTCCCTCATAATGATTTTGCGTTTCTTTGCAAATGCAATGAATTTTGGAAGGGAACACAAA